GGCCAGGGGGCCTTAGCCCTGCTTAAAGGGCCAACTGTAAACTGTGTGGACTCTGGCCAAGGGGCCTTAGCCCTGCTTAAAGGGCCAGCTATAAACTGTTTTTGTGGACTCAGGCCAGGGGGCCTTAGCCCTGCTTAAAGGGCCAGCTGTAAACTGTGTGGACTCTGGCCAGGGGGCCTTAGCCCTGCTTAAAGGGCCAACTGTAAACTGTGTGGACTCTGGCCAAGGGGCCTTAGCCCTGCTTAAAGGGCCAGCTATAAACTGTTTTTGTGGACTCAGGCCAGGGGGCCTTAGCCCTGCTTAAAGGGCCAACTGTAAACTGTGTGGACTCTGGCCAAGGGGCCTTAGCCCTGCTTAAAGGGCCAGCTATAAACTGTTTTTGTGGACTCAGGCCAGGGGGCCTTAGCCCTGCTTAAAGGGCCAGCTGTAAACTGTGTGGACTCTGGCCAGGGGGCCTTAGCCCTGCTTAAAGGACCAGCTGTAGACTGTTTCGGGGACTCAGGCCAGAGGGCCTTTGGCCTGGCTTAAAGGCCAGGGAGAGACTGTATCACGAGGGGTCGGGGACCCAGGCGGGAGGGGCCCGCCACACTATATTAGCAGAAAATGTATATGTATTTATTTAAATGTAAATAAAATCAGCAGCTAATATAAGGCTTTTTGTGCCCCAACATATCCTTGAAGTGACAACATAGCATCAAAATGATCATCCAAAGAGGAACTGCCAGCTAGCAAACTACACAAAAGCTTTTTTAGCCTTTCATCATTTCTGGAAAAACTTTCAATTGTCTCCAGAAAAATCAGTCCATCAGAGTCCTTTTGCATCATGCCAGGAAGGTCACCAAATTCAGGCTATTTCAAAAAAAGAGGGGGAACAAGGTCCAAAATCCCAGAGCCCTCTCATGTAGCAAATTTGAGAAGACCTGCAGAAGGAAGCTTTATGTAATAGCTTCTTTCACAATTAACAATTACAAATGTCAATATTTGCTACAATAACTTCAGTTCATTAGGACACATTAAAACACACCTATCTTCCTAGCACACAAATCTGACTGTGCGTTTATAGATTGGCTTATTTTTGCATGGAGTCACTTCAGATATCTAAGCAGTTCTTCGTATCTGTAAAGAAGCTACAGTAACATCATTTACTCATCCAAACTTGAAACACTAACAGCTACCTATATTGGATTCTACTTTCCTCTGAGCAGATGTTGAGTGTTGTAGGGATTAATACTTCATGTTGTTGGATGGTTACTACAGGCTGAAGTTAGAAACAGAGAGCCTAATGGCAGGCAGGGTCTCCAGCCCGTGCAGGGCTGGAGCTGGTGACTCGTGGCAGCTCCCAGTAGCCCATGTCGTGCAGGGCTGGAGCCACACAGCAGCCCGTGGCAGTGCAGGGCCAGAGTCCCCAGCAGCCCATGGCAGCATCCAGCAACAAGTGGGGCCAAGGCCAGAGCCCTGCAGCAGCAGCCCCAGCAGCCTGCATTAGCAAGGGGCCAGGGCCAGAGTCCCAGGAAGGCTGCAGCATTGCAGGCTGGGGCCAGAACCTGCGACAGACTACTAAACAGCCAGCAGCGCTGATTGGGTGGCAGATTTTGGGGGCTGGGACCGCCCCAATCTAGCAACTTCTCTTGTTTGAGACTGGTCAGGTCCTGAGGGTGCCAGACAAGGGAGGTGCGACCTGTAGTTGTTTTCCATCCTAGGGTAAAGACAGAAATTGAAAGAGACTGTGTATTATTACTCCTGCAAGCAGAGCCAACTGGAAGCCAGTTTGGTGTCTGTCACAGTTGTTTCTTATCCAGGGCACAAATGTTCATGTTTTGCAAAACAGCATCATTATGTCCAGACCAGGAAATAATTTTCCTTTTCATTGCAAATATACAAGTGTGTAATGCAACCATTCAGAACAAGGAACTGTTTCCAAGGGTGCTGCTAATAATGGGAGGTGGAAATAAGCATGGCGGGGGGGAGATCAGTCCCCCGTGCACCACGAACTGCCAGTCTTACTACTCATTACCGTCCAGGTTGGCCTTGTGCCAAAAAATAACACTGCAGGATAATACCCATTAACAATGCATTTAAAATCAAACATGCTGAGTTGCATCATCCTCTGTATGGAGAAAACCCCTCTTGGTCTCAATTAATTGTATTCCCTATCCAGTACTCCTTTGGTTAGGACTTGGGGAGAATTCTACTGGCGCTACTAGGGCATTTCTAGAGAGTTAGGTCACTTATATGCAAATTCATTGCCTTAGCAATGAGCCTATTCTCCATCCTACCCCGTCCTATTTCTGCATGGCTTCTTTCCGAGACGGACTGAGAAGCACAGACCAACAATCCTTAGGGCAGGTTCTCTTGTTTCGATTCTAGTTATGTTTATAGCATCCTCTTCACTGTAGCAGCTGAGCCCATTCCAGTAGTTCATTAAGCAACAAGATTAACATCTGTCACATGCAGCTTGTTCTTTCTCTCATCCTCTCCATGGGGACAGAACTGTGTGTGCAGTGGAGACTTTCTGCATTTGTAATGGTGGCTGGTGAGGTTTGTGATGGTTCTTTGTCCCTCAGGGAATTCGTGCCACAGTCATGGACCAGTCTCCTGCATGAGCGAGCTTTACCTGAAAGACAGAGGAGTTGTTGATTGTTTAAAGCGCCAAGATGAAGACCGTGGTCTTCTAGATGCTCTGGATCCAGGCCATTGAGTGCCTTGAAAATAAAGCCCAAGACCTTGTTCTTACCTCGATACTCTATGATTAGCCCGTGTAGAGATCAGAGGACAGGTCTGATATTCTCTCACTAGCCTATGTTGCTGAGGAGATGAGTTGCAGCCATGTATACTGGTTAGAGTTTAAGGACTTATGGCCGCATGCATTGCTATAGCCATGACAAGAAGTCACCACCAGTCTGGGATGGAGTCTCCTAGCCAGCTGGATGTGGTTGGAAGTATTATCTGTGGATGTTACTATGTTAGGGTATGTCTACACTACAGCACTAATTCGAACTAACTTAGTTCGAGTTAGTTAATTCGAACTAAGCTAATTCGAATTAGCGCAGCTAGACCTAAAAACTAGTTCGAATTAGTGTTTTCCTAATTCGAACTAGCATGTCGACATTGAGTGGACCCTGAACAGAGGTTAAGGATGGCCGGAAG